ACCTGCATTTGCTGCTCCTGGTGTTTTCCATTGTCTGACTGCCGGGCTGTTAACTCTATCAGCATAGAAGTACTGTCAGTAGCATTTTGGATATCTTCAGAAAATGACCTGCCTCCTTGGTTTTGGGTAGCTGTCTTCTGTACCTCCTAACCTTCATGTGGTTATGACAAGACCATGGGGGCAGATGGTATCCTGTAACTTTGGCAGGTGCTAGCCACTTTGTATTTGAAATCTTACATTTTCTCCCACTTGCAGTGGAATAACTGGCATTTTTGTTGTAGTATTTCTTCTGTTCTAGTTTTCTGCTGTGTGGTGGTTTTTTTTACTACTTCAGGGTTACTTGTCTTTGTCCTTCTACCTGTAACTCTCTGAACAGATGATTGTAATAAGGTGAGGTGTATTTACTTCCCTAACAGTGCTAAATAGAGATTGCTTTAATCTGCCTCTGCTTCTGTGCTGTTTGTGATAATCCTTTTAATTCTACATTTTAAGGGCTTGACATGGTACACTTGAATTGACACATCAGTGAGAGTTATGAGAGTTACACAATTCATAAATGGTTCATTTTGGAAACCACAGGCAGGTGCAATGAATTTACATTTCTAGAGGCCCAATAAAAAGTTTTTAATCTAGAATTACTCAAGTTTTTGTAAATTTGAGCTACTTTGTGTTTCTTGTCTGAGCTTATCAGATTTTCTTTTGGAATTAGCTAGTATTTGAATCAGATATGCTCCAAACTCCTTCTGCATCTCCTCCTTTCATTATTTATAGGCACTCATGATAGCATGACCACTAAAAGAAGCTCCTTACATACCCTGTATTTTACATTTAACAAATATTTTGAAATTCCATGATAATTTTCTGCAGTTGCTTTGGGTCACAGTGTCTGTTATATGACTCCAAAAGTTTAGGCCCTGTCTCCATCTTGACCAATTTCTGCCCATAAACATATTTGTGAAACCACTCACAACTGCAAGAAATGCTGGTGTTTCTTTTTCAATCTGAGGTTAATTCTGTTGTGTTTTAGTTAGCACTTTGGAAGCATGTGACACTGGGCAATCTTCTTGAAACTGGAGTCTCCAATTTGTGGGAGTCTGCATCAACTGAGATATTAGACTCCCTGTTAATGTACAAATATTTCACTACCAGTCCTTCTGCCAGATTTTGAATGGCATGTGATCCAGTAGGCAGCCTCTGAGAACACCGACCAGATTGGGACCCATGGGTGAGAAAGGCAGTCCTCTGCCTGTCTTCCACCAGTCTGTAGACTGCTCTGGGGATTAGGTGAGAGGTGGGCATCTCTCAACACCTAGAGAGAGGCAGCAGTGCATGTGCTCAGAGGCAAAAACGTAGGTGTTGAGTGAGTTTGGGCGCCTACTGAGCTAGGCAGCAGCTGAGCGGGAGTTTTGTTGATGACATTGGTATGTAAAACTGGAATTTAGGTACCTAAGTCTGGGGTTTAGGCACTTAAGTACCTCTGTAGGTCTCACTCCCAATCTCTGACTCCTGCTAGCTCATTCCTGTCAGAAGTGACTTAGCCCTGGGTGTCAGATAAATACGTCTGAAGAGCGAAATTTTGTACCTTTTGGAACAAAGCACTTATCACCAAAAAAGTCAAAAACTGTCCCATGCAGGCTATTCCAGCACCTCCAACCAGGCCTTCATCTCCCTGTGCTTGATTTCAATCTACCCACCTTGAGCACCGTGCTATATACCCCATATGTTGTTCAAAAATGGGAATACAGTATAAACATTTCCAACAACGTGCAGTTTGCCTCGACAGTATTGCATCCTTCCTTGGTTATGGATATGATGAGACCGTGTTTTTACTTTAAATGGGAAAACAAACAAATTCTTCCCATTCCCTCCTGCCTCCTCTATGAAAGTACATGAATGGGTACCCCTTGGGTGCCTTGGGATTATTCACAGGCAAAGGGGAAGCCCCTGGTTCAAATATTGACAGCATACTACTAAATTGGCTCTAAGTAAACAACAGCAGAGGAGGGTTGGGGGACAGCGGTTTTGTTGTTCTGGGAATAGTTTCTCAGTGTGGTGGTTCTAGTTAGATTTTTAAATTATCTTGTTGGCTGTGTAGAAAGCTCATGTACATATAACATTTTCCTTACTTTTAAAGTGAACAAAAATAAAAGGAAATTTGTTATCCTACAGTTATTTGATGTCTGCTTAATTTTAATACAAATTACTGTCTATTTCATTCCCAAAATCAGATGATTGCATGAAACACTCTAGACCCAGCTGAATACTGAGATTGTTGTTTTGCACTGTGCATTGAGGGTTTTATTTTGCAATTGTTTCTCTACTAGCAATTAATTATACAAGGCAGAAATTGTTGCCCAATATCTTAAGTAATTTGTGAAGCGTACAGTTAGAGGATCCCCAGTGTCTCTATAGCTCCGGTTAGCCTGGCTTGTGGAACAATATGTAGAGCCCTGCAAATCTGCAGCTATCTGCTGTATATCTGCAGCTATCCGCATCCATGGATGCGGATATCCGCAGACCATGTGTGCAGATCGCTGATAGACTGTGGATACAAATTTTGTATCTGCACAGTGCTCTAGCAATATGTAGTATGCACACAGCTCACACAGGGTAGAATCTATTTAGAAGTGCTTGTATTTTTTATGATAATATTATGCAAGTATAGCCATTCCAAATGTTTTTCAAATGCAAAACATTTCAAAGTTACTGTACCTAAAATAGTTACTGTGAACAAATATGCAGGTAGGGAACCCATCAGAGCCAAAATTGAATTTTAAAATGCTCTAGGCTGCATGCTTCAAGAAACAAAATGAGATATTTTGATTCCCCTATAAATGAACAGGTAAATTTGTTTTCTGAAGCACCCTTTATACTCTCCGTGCCCTGAAGCAGTTTTACATGGAAAACTTACCACAAATCATTCCAGAAATATAAATTGCATCGTGCATAAATAGACAGTGCTTCAGAACAAGGGGATATTTTAGGACTCTGATAAGCAGTTTAAGCCTCTTATATAAACTCTAAAGAGTTTGATATCTTTGAATTAAAGATGGGCCCAGATCTCAACAGCCCACACACTGGGACTGTTTGAAATCCAAATTCAGCTCAAAGTCATAGTAATTTGAATGTGAAAACACTTCAATTGTGTAAGTAGAGGCAAGTGATTCATACAGTAGAACGTGGGAATCTTTGCAGATTAAATACATGAGGATTTCTGATGGAGAACATAGCTCATGCAGTGAAAATGTTTAGCTCTGTCTGTCTTCATATCAAGTGGGATTTTTGCTTTCCCAGTTCCTGGTTATTTTTAAAATAGACTGACCTAAAACCCAGGCCTGAACCTACCCACACACAGGTGATATCACGCTAAAGATCCAAATGTTCTGCCTTCAGTCTGTATCTTCTGAGAGGGCCTGATTCTCCATCAGTTCACACCAGTTTTATCTCCATAAACTCTAATGATTTCACTAGAGTTACACAAGCATTCAACTTGTGTAACCTGGTGGTGAATAAGGTGCAGAATCTCTGTAGTAACTACTGAACAGTTAGTCTGTGAGGGCCTGGTGACCACCTCACAAGATTTGGCCCTACATTAGTAGACAAAATTGCTCTGATTTAGGAGATACTGCACCAGTAATTGTTCACATACTTACCAATACAATTGAAAGTCTGAAGTAAGGACACTGTCCGAGTCTATTCATAGAAGGGCACTCACTATAAATTCCCAGTAAATTTTCCAGTGGTACTTATTTGTGCTTAAAACAACTCTTGCTGCTTTCTAGTGAATTGCTTTAACATGCAATGTAGCTTTAGCGTGGCACCAGTAAAATGTGTTTAGAGATGTTTCTTTATCCAGATCTGTGTGCAGCATTCTTAAGTGTTTTAATACCCTGTGGTGTCAGTTCCTATCCTTTTGCCCCTCTGTGTTGCTGAAGCATTGCCATGAATGATTTGATTCAGTCTCTGTCTGCGTGATGATACCATATGTGAAGTAATGTTTAAAGATTAATTTTAGGACTGTTTGTTTATATTGACTATCAGAGACTTATGTTACTACAAACGAACTAGTAATACTCAGGAAAAACATTTGAATATTTGCATTGGCTGCCATGAAATCAGATGTTTGGTGCTTGGAATTTACAGAAGTGCCTACATGAGGAGCCTAAAAACATATTCAGTTGTGTAACTTTGCTTCCAAAATACCCTGATTTTTATACCGAACATTGGCTTTATTCTTTGACAGACTTTATAAGCAGATCAATAGTATACACTTGATTCACTAATTTAAAACTGCACACTACAAACATCTATAAATGAACGCAAAGTGTGTTGATTGTAAGGCTCTCTGATGGTGAATGTATACGTTACAGTGCAAAGGTTCATCTTAGTCACTGGTATTTTTCTCTCATTCTTCATCTCAAGTAATACTTTTGCTTTCACAATTCCTGACTATAAAAATGAAGGATTTTATGCTTTAGTGTTTATTCCATTATTTTGACATAATCACGACACCTCCATGGAAGAGATGATTTATAGGGGTATATTCCTCTTTCAAAGCCCTTGCAGAAGTTAATGAGAACAGAAAGGAGATTATTTCCCTTTAGGTGCGTAAGTCAGCAGCATACACATTTTCATTAGCATTCTTGTGTTTTTTAAGACTGCATGGGGAAGTGAGGAAACTGTGGTGTTATTTTCACTAAGCCAAAGAGAATAGAAACCATTATTCATTTTAACACTGCTCCATAAAGGTTGCAAGTTTGGGTTTTATTTCTATAAATTAAAGCATGGGAAATGTTTCATTGGAATTGCCTTTTGAATATCCTGAAAAATATAAATCAAACTTTCTTTTAAAGTCACCAGCTCACTGCAGCGGGACTCTGTGTCAGGCAAGAAACCTGCTCTAGGACTGTAACTGCTCAGGGCTGCTTTCATATAAATGTCATGATGATGGTTGGCTCAATTGTTCTTGTCCTTTTGCAATGCATGCATTTTTGTGGCAGTAGGTTACATTTCCAGACGGGCAATGCTTCAGCAATTACATGGAGTCAGTACATTCTCACACGACGAGCGTCACTATGCCGCTTACGCATGGATGGACAAAGGTAAGGCTTGACAACACCGCCTTCGTTTTTACCCTAACATGTTAGTTGAAGTATCCTGTATTTTGCTGTCGCAGTGAGGCGGGCAACAGGTAGAGGTTCCACGTTCAGGTGAAGTCAGATACAAGACGCTGATTTTATTTGTCAGAAATGTTTCTCCACAAACTAACTATTGCTAAAAATTAGAAGAGTAGAACTAATGTTATAAAACAGCAATTGATTCATGTAGGTCAAGCCATGTCTGAATAACCCAATCCATATACAGGGCAGAACGCTGAGGAGAAAGGACTGATATTTTTAGGTGGGGAGAGGTAGCCTGATTGGCTTTCTACTTCCTTCACTGAAACTCAGCATTTATGACTAGTCATTTAGATGGCACATTCAGTGTACACAGTACAGTGCTGCTATGCAGGAGGTAAGCTTCAAATGAGAGAGCCCCTGCTAACAGTTGCTTGCAATCTAATGGATAAACAGGTACCATACAGCATACCATACCAAACTGGTTCATTAAGCACATGCTAAGTGGTCTGTGGAGATTTGGCTTTTCGTAGGTGGTGGCTGCTTCTCCCAGGCTTCCAGCTGCTTCTACAGATATCAAGGAAGAGCCTGGAGATGTATAAAATCAGCTGGAAGCAAGGAGGAAGAGCAAGCATTGCTCCATCTACTAGGAGGAGAAGAGGAAACAGGAACCACCACCAGGGTCTGGAGCTGCCAGGCATCAGCAAGAGGAGACTGCTCAGGGGAGAAGACAATGAGGCATCAGGGGTTTATGTCCGTTGGAGAAATGGTTGGAGGGGACCTGATTGTCAGGCCGTGAGTCCAGGACACAAGGAAATTTAGTGGCAGAAAAGCATGTTTGGGGGAGAGAGGACCACACAACAGGGTACTGTGTGCAGGAAGAGAACAGGATGAGGGGACGGAGTAGCAGAGGAATATTGGCCTGAAAAGAGGAACAGAACAGATTGGAGGAAAAGTGAAATTAAGAGGAAAATAGAGACAGAAAAACAAAATTAAACTCATTAAAAAGAACTGTGAATACATCCATTTCTTAAGGGTACTGTCCCAGGTAATCAGTTCTTTTAGTTGCTGTTCTGTGTTCACAGATGGGAGGGGCAGTGCTCCTCATGATCATCTGTGGGAGGAGTCGAGTCCACGGAACAATCTCTATGAAGAAGTGGTCCATACAATGAAGATATTTGAGAACCTGGTGTACAGAGCAATATAATACAGAATACACACAGCATGGCCTGTCATCTTTGTTGCTGAGCTGTATTTTACATTAATAGCAACTACATCCATAGAAAGAATTGGGAAGGTGGAAGATAACATTAACTGTATGGAGGATTGTAGAACAGGCTGGCACTGTTTGACTGAAACATTCCCACCTGGTGGCAGATACTGAGGCTGCTGGGAAACGTCAAGTGAGTTCTTCTAACTAGGTGGTGCAGGTAGCTTGTTAACCGTCCCCTGTGTATGGGAGATAGGAGTGCTCTCTACATAGAGAAGTGAAGGTGTGGGCAGAGCAGTCTGGAAGGAGGAGCCCTAGGGGCAGCCACGCCTGTGGAGATGGTTGGAGCTGAAGGTTTTGTTGTTTTTTGTCAAACCCAAGGGGGGTGGTGAGTGTGACTCTACTCAGCGTGTGGACTTTGTTTTAGAGCCAGCTGCTCACGCAGGGGAGATTTTTTTGACGTATTCTGCACAAGGGGCATGGGGGCGGGGAGAGAAGCAAACTTGAACTGAAGAACATGAGGGCAGAAGTGGCAACAGGCCCAGGCTGCCCTCGAACAGCTGCTGCAGGCCTTGTGGCAATTTGTGAAGGAGTCCAACAAGAACGGTAGCAACAACTCTGGGAGCTGATGTTCCACAGAATGATTAACCCATGGCCACTGTCTGGCTGCCGGTGAGCGTCAGCCCATCTCTGTCTATCATGAAACCGGATGGTGACCCTGAGACCTGCTGGTCACCTTTGAGCTGATGGCTCCTGCTCAGCGTGAGTCTTGGGACATCTTTTTAGCTCCTTTTTCACAGTAGAGGTACAAGGGGTGTGTGTATATATATATATATATGCCTACATGTGAGAGAGGCCACGCTGCCCCAGTTTCAGCTCAGTTCCATAGTACAGTTTATAGAGTACTCTTGGGGAGAAAATTGAAAGACTCAGGGACTCAGTGGTGGACAATGAATACAGAAGGTTGGCCAGAGGGGGCTGATGGGGGGACTTATGTGTTTTGCTTATTAGGAAAAGGCGCATGTAAGAAAATTGTGTTATATTGCACTGTAATTTTGGGAAGACATATGGACTTACTGAACCCACAGACAAAAAAAGGACAATCACCAAGAATTTAGGAGGAAGCCTCCAGCCCCAAGAATCATGTAAGGAACGGCGATATATACAAAAACATTGTTCGTCATGGATGTACTGACGATAGAGAGATGAGGTCTGGTAGAGGCCAGGGGTCTGGCTCTCCCAGTGGGTAATATATGGACCCATAGAAATGGAAGGGCAAATTGTTAGAGCCCTGCAAATCTGCAGATACCCGCTTTATAGGTGTAGACCATGTTTGAGGGATGCGGATACAAATTTTGTATCCATGCAGGGCTCTAGGAATGGTGGCTTGCCAGGTTGACTCATGGTACACCCAGACTTAGATGTAAGAGGGCTTGATATGACTCGAGTGCCTTAAAGAATTAGATTCCATACAGGTCCCCTATGACTACAAGGACTCCAGGGCCTACCCAGAGGCTATAATTCTCCTATGACAGGGGGCAACTTGCTTGTTTTATCCTGCCCCATTGAGAAATGCGGGGAACCTGGGTAAACTTTCAGTCTATCCTGGTTTCCAGGGTGTACACAGGGGTTCATGACCATGCAGAATGAGATGTTGCAGGGGGCAAGTCCTCTCGTCACCGCAGGGGCTTTGAGAGTTAGATTGTCCAGGAGAGAGAAAACCAGGGTGCATGCATAAGCATTGGCTCTAAGGGGCTGTAAGAGGTTGGCAGTGTTTACACAGAAATCATAGAAATGTAGGACTGGAAGGGACCTTGACGGGTCATCTAGTCCAGTCCCCTGCACTCAGGGCAGGACTAAATATTATCTAGACCATCCCTGACAGGTGTTTGTCCAACCTGCTCTTAAAAACCTACAGTGACGGAGATTCCTCAGCCTTTCTAGGTGACATGTCCCAGTGCTCACCCAACCTGACAGGAAGTTTTTTCTAATGTCCAACCTAAATCTTGATTGCTACAGTTTAAGCTCATTGCTTCTTGACCTGGCATTGGTGGTTAAGGAGATCACTTTATCAGCCTCCTCTTTATAACAACCTTTTAGATTGTTATCATGTTCCCCCATCAGTCTTCTCTTCTCCAGACTAAACAAACCCAATTTTTTCAGTCTTCCCTCATAGGTCCTATTTTTCTAGACCTTTAATCATTTTTGTTGCTCTTCTCTGGACTTTTTCCAATTTGTTCACATGTTTCCTGAAGTAAGGTGCCCAGAACTGGACACAAGACTCCCTTTTAGGCCTTCTCAGTGCTGAGTAAATTGGAAGAATTACTGCTCATGTCTTGCTTACAACACTCCTGTTAATGCATGAAATACATCTCCCTGTTAGCAGTCATTGATCCTGCTGGGAAAGGCTTAGCCTGAGCCAGGTGCTTTTATACCTCACTCAGATAAAAGGGGATGGCTCGCTGAAGAGAGAGTGAGCGGATCTACAGTGTGAGAGACCCCTGAGGGAGCAGCAGGTCTGAGGAGAAGCCTAAATTGAACGTTATCAATCAGTTAATAAAGCTAAATTCCAGGAAGGGGTGGGGTTTAGACTTTGTTTTAGAGCAGGCTGGGAAGGTCACAGACGTGCCTCTGATCATTCCTAAGTTACGTGTTTCTGTTCAGAAATCTTTCATGACTCCAAAGTTTGAGAGATGTGTCCTGCTGAGCTTTTGAAATTCAATCTGAATATTGTATTTAAGGGAAAACAGCACGACATGTTCCCAAAGGTGTCCCAAAAATTATACCTGTTAATGTCAGTTCTGCTAAAAGGCATTAGTTAATTGTACTGCACAAGAGCAAGGAACATTTATTCTTATTTAAAGGAAGGAAAAAGTCCTGTGACACATGCAAATGGCACATCACATATTTTAAACACTCTGCATGTCGCCTACACAGACTGAGCAGACATATTGGTCCCTTCAGCACCTTTCACAGCTTGAACACCACTCTGTTTGCTTTTTCCATGCTCTTGTCATTAATACCAACTACTAAAGGGAAAAATACATACAGCCTGCGCACCATGTCGGGAAAATGGGGTTTGGGGTCACGGGCTGCCCTGTGTTGCGGGGTCTGGGACCCCTGCAAAGCCCCTTCACTAGCCCTCTTTGGTCAGCAACTGGTGCAGTGCTGATGAACCGCCTCCAACGCTCCACGGCTAGAGTGCTGCAAGGTCTGTGAGGGGATGGGGCACATTCATTCATAAGGTATTAGGTCCATATAGCCTCACAGCTCAGCCCCCCTGAGCCCGCTTTTATGCAGGTCTCTGCAGCAGTGTTGAGCCAGGGCCGGGCAGCGGCACGAGCACCCGCACGGAGAGTTGAATGTGAGCTCCCTGGCTGGGGGGCATGTGGGACTTGGAAACTGAACCGGGCACATGAATTTCTCTTCAGCGTGAGGGAGACTAAAACCCTGCAGTGCTGTGGAGCTCGCGGTTGGCGAGGCGACCGCCTCACTCAGCGGAGAAGCTCTGCAAACTGCAGCTCCAACTTAAATATAAACTGAGCCTCTCAGCGCCACATGTTGATCCGAATAGCAATACTTTGGTGTGCATCTGCCCGGTAATTCCCAGGGGGGTGGTGGCAACTGGCTAATTTCTGCCACTTGTGCAGAGTCACAGGGATGGGAGTTTAATGTCACAACAGATGTTCCCTGTGGGACTAGAATCCCTAAACTATCGCTTTCTCAAGAGAGCAGGAACTGTAAATGTGGTGTGAAGCTTAACTCAGGCTTTAGTTCTGGGAGACTGAATGATGGGGAAGGTTCTTATCCAGGTTCAAGTCTTCTCCAACACCAGGAAGCATTCTACTCCCTAATCATTTCTGCTGGCTCCTGAACTTTCTCCTTTGAGGAGACATCACCCTCTTCTGGGGATGAAGAAGGATTTAACCTTCTTCTCAAAAAGGGCTTGGGAGGAGGCCATTGGACTGTAGATGCCACAGTGATGGCCCCCATTCTATGCATAGATAGACCTGATGAAGGCATCCATAGTTGCCCAGTTATCTCAGCAACTAGACTCAAGTGAGTATCTGAACGTACTCTGAGGCGCTTAGAGAAGTCTCAGGCCCACTAGCTCCAAACGTTTGTCTTCCAAAGTCTCTCAGCCTCTAGCCTTTTGTGTTGCAGAAAAGCACCTGTAACTTTCAGTGTTGCGTTGTAGCCTGGCTCCAGCTCTGCCTGACTCGGTGTAGATGGAGTGCAGAGCTGGCCCAAGCCTGTCTTGCAAAGACTAGCCTGGGTTCCTGATTTCTTCTTGCCCAGGAAGCACAGGGAAGGCATCAGAAATGAATCAGCAGCAGTGATGCTCAAAGCAGACTATGCTGTCAGGGAAACTAAGCTGCCTATGTTGTGTGCCAGGAAATGAAAAAGGGCCAAAAATGAACTCACCCCTTCCTCCTGCTGCAGCCACCCCCTGCTCCCGTGTGTCCTAATACCACTCCCGGATCCTTCATTGTCCAGTCCCTTCTCAGCCCCAGCTCCCTCCCTTCTGCTCCCACCCTGTGAACCCATAGCAAGTCTGTGTTGAGCAGCTTATTCTGCCTGGTTTGATGATAGACAAGGCTGAGTGAGCATAACCCGAATCAGAGCCTTCAACACCCAACCAAGCTCGATGCCATTCCTCTCCTGGAAGAGTTGGGAAGAGGCCCCTCCCCCTGGGAGACTCCCAGTGAGTTTGGTGAGGGGAGAGTGCATGTGTCTGTTTCTAACTGCTGGTCACAGTTCCCCGCGAAACCACACACAAAAAATGTTTATGGTCCAACCCCATGGTGTGGAGTCGGTTGAGGGGCAGAGCAACTTTCTCACTCCCTTGTATGGGATGTTGGAGGTGATTTGGGGGTGAGAAGGTTTAAATGATGTTCCTTCCCCCTGCACATTGTCTGTAACAGGGGCCAGTTCAAGGGTCAGTGTCTCCTCTCAGACAGACAGCTGCCAAGAACATCACAGACTAAAGAGGGTTACTCTGAACATAGCCATAGCAGTGTTTGGTGCAAGGCAAAGGGCATGTGCAACAGGACGTGATGCTGGCACTGAGCGCTCACTTCATGTCCTGTAATAAGGTGGACGATTTAGTTTTAAATATATTGGTAATGTATGAGTTGAGGAGAGATCCCTTGAGCCCCGACTGGAGCAAATTCTGGTTAGTCTATGCAGCTCTCTGTAATAAGCAGCTATTTCTAACAGCCTGATTTGTCTGGAGAGGTCTGACAGCATTCTCACTGTTGTTTATGCACCGGCAGGAAGTTAAGACTATGCAAGTATCAAAATGTTCAACTAGTCTGTAACGAGTCCGTGATGTCCACGTACAACAGTGCATTGGCATTTGGTTTTCAGATACGTTTGGGTCCGTGCTCTAGCCTGCCGGCTCATGTCTGCTCGATTGTATTTACCTTATTTATACAGAAAACCGGGAAAACACCTTCAGCCGTTCCCGAAGCTCCAGTGTCTCCAGCATCGACAAGGAGTCCAAGGAGGCAATTACAGCTTTGTACTTTATGGAGACCTTTTCACAGAAGAATGACTCTACTGTCTCCCCCTGTCTGTGGGCTGGAACAGGCCTTGGTATGGTCTTAATCATCTCCCTTAATCTGCCTGCTACTGAGGAGTTAAGGCAGACAGAACCAGTCATGGTGTCTCCAAGTGGTAAGAGTTTCTGTCTGCTTTCCTGTTCTTTGTCTGTCTCGGTAGCAGGAGAGGGTTTACATATCTGCTTTTATCTGGTTTCTCTGACCAAAATCTCTCATGTAGTGAATATTAACCCCTACATTCATTACATTACATTCGGTAGTTCATTACACTGAGTGCACAGTGAGATACAAAGAGGGGATCATAGCAGTGATTTAGAGACGTAGGACAGTCTGTTTTATTAATCACGAAGATTAGATCTTACATAGAGCTGCACACATTCCTTGTAAGGACCTGGAAACAGGAGACCTTTTTTGCAGACTGGAAAAATAGATAATTTCCTCATGGGAAAGTGTATTTGGGATTTGTTTGAACGTGTCAAGAATTTGATGGATCATGTGGCAACAGATATGTCACTAAATTCCAGTAGAAGGTATCTTCAGCACAAACAGCTACTTTCATATCTAAAGGTCTTCATAAACCTTAACTGATTATTCCTTCCCTGTGACATAGGGAGCTGCTCCCACTTCTGCAGATGAGGCAACAGGCACAGACAATAAGCGACTTGGTCAGTGCTAAGAGGGACACAATGATAAAGCCAGGATTAGATCTCCGGCGTTCCTGCCTTCTAGTCCTGTGCACTGACGCCCTCAGACAGATCTCACTCATAGGAGAGGTCTAGCTTTCAGGACAAAAACTCAGCTTTGTGCAAAAGTAGTTGCAGAATGAACTAGGCCCTTGTTTCACACCTAGTTACAATGATGGTTACAATTACAAGGTCACCGACACAGAGGATGGTCAATTGAGTGCAGTTATGGACACTGATGAGGCCATGCCATGAGAGTAGAAACAAGGGCAGAGAACAAAAAACGAGGTTCAGTTTTGGAAAATACAAGTTAATACATGTGAGGAAAAACAATTGCAAGTACATAATGAGAGGGGGGAAAACGTAGAAAGCAGGGAGACCTAGAACTAGCAGTAGGCAGCAGATTAGTCGTGAGTTTGTGGATATGGCTGGGAAACAAGGCCAGTATAATTTTGAACTGCTTAGACAAAAGCATTTTGTCACTGAGCAGAGAGGTTATAGTCCTCCTACATACAGCTCTGATCCAGCCCCTGCTGGAAATGTTGTGATCAGGTTGGAGGTGTCATTACCAGAGAAACCAGAGGGAGTGCAGAGGAGAATGACAAAATGATTGGGGGGTGAAGGGGGTAATTTCCAGGGAAAGACTGAAAGATCCCAAGCACATCTTGGCTAAGTGACAGGCACAGGTTACAGGGGATACTGGATGGGGGTAAACACCAAAGAGGGACAGGATTTATTTAGCAGTTTTAAAGGAGCTAACTAGGAATAATGGGAGGAAATTTAGGAGTAAGGAACTGTAGTCTGTATTAGACAAGGAAAGGATAGGAGGCATCTCAGCTGCTTCCTTAAAACCTGACTGGAAAGACGCTAGAAATTGTACTGTAAAGAACAATCCTACTGGTAAGAGAATTGGATACATGCCGTAATTGGCTATTTCTATCTCTAAATTCTACTGTTTTCTATTTAATTTTTTTTGTTAGGTTGCCTGAAACATTTTCAGTAACTGCAGCCTGCTCATTCACCATCTCTGTGTGGCTGCAAAAATATTTTGTTTGAAGCAAAAGGTTACTTTGTACCATTAGCTGTGCAGCTTATTAGCTTAGGGCTAAGATGTGCTATTGTAGCCCTAAAGGGAAAACCTGGATGCAAAATAGACCATGATGTGACCACTGGAGTTTTTGACCAGCATATGCCAAAGCTAGAGCATTATATTTTACAGGTACAGTTCTGATGCTGAAGGGAGCAGTGCTGACTTTTTCATGCCTGGACTGCATGGGAGCATTGATACATCCACCCTATGAAGTATGGAGGGACCCAAATAGCATGGATGACAGTGAAAAAATGAGAAAAAGGAAACTTGTCATGTATTCTCCTTCCTCCTCCGGGGATATGGGAGATCATCAGTTTGCTGTCATCTGCTCAGAAAAACAAGCCAAAGTTTTCTCACTGCCTTCCCAGGCATGCCTCTATGTTCACAACATCACAGAAACGTCCTTTCTACTGCGAGCAGATGTGGTGACCCTGTGTAACAGCATCTGCCTGGCTTGCTTTTGTGCCAACGGGCATATCATGGCGATGAGGTACTTACCTACCTAATCATTTGGCAAAATGGTAAAAGGCAACAGAATTAGGGCTGTAAAGGGGAGTAGGATGCACACTGTCCACCTGCAATCTGCTGTTTATATTATGCACACGTAAAGGAAAGCTGTACCCATTTTGCTCTGGTATATAATTTCTCTTGGTTAGTAATCCTTCTCACCATCTAGTACAAGGATTATCTCTGACAGCAACAGCATGGCAGAAGCAGCAGTGCTCACTGTGGCTAAAGTTGCAGAATAATTTCCATGCAGTCTCTCTTTGGTCACTTATAACTGTCAGCTTCTGGGCTAAAGACTTCCAAGCCTAGTCTCACCCACATACGTTCAATGACTGTGGAAATCAAAATACCATTCCCTACATTATAAAAAAAATAGGGCTGTGAAGTGATTAAAAAAATTAATTGCACAATTAATTCTGCTGTTAATAATAGAATACTATTTAAATATTTTTGGATGTTTTTTACATTTTCAAATATATTGATTTCAGTTACAACACAGAATACAAAGTGTACATGCTCACTTTATATTGGTCTTTGATTACAAATATTTGCACTGTAAAAAACAAAAATAGTATTTTTCAGTTCACCTAATACAAGTACTGTAGTACAATCTCTATCATGAAAATTGAACTTACAGTGTAGAATTATGTACAAAAAAAGGCATTCAAAAATAAAACAGTGTAAAACTTTAAGGCCTACAAGTCCACTCAGTTCTACTACTACTTCAGCCAATCGCTCAGACAAACAAGTTTTTTTACATTTGCTGGAGATAATGCTGCCTGCTTCTTGTTTACAGTGTCACCTGAAAGTGAGAACAAGCATTTGCATAGCATTGTTGTAGCTGTCATCTCAAGGTATTTACATGCCAGATGCACTAAAGATTCATATGTCCCTTCATGCTTCAACCACCATTCCAGAGGACATGCATCCATGCTGATGATGGATGCTGCTCAATAACACTCCAAAGCAGTGCAGACGGACGCATGTTCATTTTCATCATCTGAGTCAGATGCCACCAGCAGGTTGATTTTCTTTTTTGGTGGTTCGGGTTCTGTAGTTTCTGCATCAGAGTGTTGCTCTTTTAAGACTTCTAAAAGCATGCTTCACACCTCGTCCCTCTCAGATTTTGGAAGGCACTTCAGATTCTTAAACCTTGGGTCGAGCATTTTCACTGTAGCTATCTCTAGAAATCTGATATTGGAACCTTCTTTGTGTTTTTTGAAATCTGCAGTGAAAGTGTTCTTAAATCAAACAACATGTGCTTGGTCATCATCCGAGACTATCATAACACAAAATATATGGCAGAATGCAGGTAAAACCATGGAGCAGTAGAAATACAATTCTCCTCCAAGGAATTCAGTCACAAATTTAATTAACACTTTTTTTTTTTACAAGCATCATCAGCATGGATGCTTATCTTCTGGATTGGTGGTCAAAGCATGAAGAGGCATATGAATGTTTAGAATATCTGGAACGTAAATACCTTGCAATGCTGGCTACAAAAGTGCCATGCAAACACCTGTTCTCACTTTCAGGTGACATTGTGAATAAGAAGCGGGCAGCATTATCTCCTGTAAATGTAAACAAACTTGTTTGTATTAGCGATTGGCTGATCAAGCAGTAGGACTGAGTGGACTTGTAGGCTCTAAAGTTTTAGATTGTTTTGTTATGGAGCGCAGGTATGTAACAACAACAATAAATCTACATTTGTAAATTGCACTTTCACAATTAAGAGATTGCACTTCAGTACTTGTATGAGGTGAAATGAAAAATACTGTTTCTTGTGTTTGTCATTTTTACAGTGCAAATATTTGTAATCAAAAGTAATATAAAGTGAGCACTATACACTTTGCATTCTGTGTTGTATCGGAAATCAATATATTTGAAAATGTAGAAAAACATCCAAAAATATTTAATAAATGTCAATTGGTATTCTATTGTTTAACAGTGCGATTAATTTTTTTTAGTTAATCATGTGAGTTAACTGCGATTAATCGACATCCCTAAAAAATATAATTCTTAAAAATTCTTTTTTGGATAGCTCCTCAATCAAAATAGCTAAGGTAGAAAGTTGAAAAGTGGCATTAAAGCAGTCCTCATTCAGCAGCAGCACCTTTGAGAGTTCTACCCAACATTGGGTTGGATTTAACCAAAGGCTAACCTTTCAAAACCACAAGATACACATTCTGTGGAGGTTTTTTTTGCCACAAGGACTTTAGGCTACTACAGGGTTAGGTGGCAGCTGAGCAGGGTTTTGAGACTCTCGATGGAGGACTTAGACACCTAAGCTGCATGTAAGACACCTAAGTCCTTTTGTGGAGCTAGCCCTAAAGACCTATTTTGGTCACTGAAATTTGCTTTGAGACCAATACACGGAGGGAACAGATCTGTGAAATGGAAAGGTGCCATTTTTATATTAGCACATTTAAGAGTAGGACTGCATTTTAAATACCACAGCATTCTAGGCTAGATATGAAAAATACTAAATAAGTTACCTGTGGGTCTGAATCACGTGATAGAATAAAAGCATTTTCTGTAAATCCCAACATAACACAGGCATATGCTTCTCTTCAGCTTGCCCAGCCTTCGCCCAATGCTGGATGTCAACTATTTGCCAGTAACAGACATGAGGATAGCACGGACATTTTGTTTCACCAATGAAGGGCAAGCTTTGTATCTCAGCTCCCCCACAGAGATCCAGCGACTGACATACAGCCAGGAGATGTGTGACAATCTACAGGTAGGGCTTGTAACCATCAAAAGCATCCATGCCGCATGGCTTTCTTATCTAATCTTTGAAGCAGTAACGGGCTCCCATTGTGAGATCTGTGCTTCACCATGTTTTCAGCACTTCTGAGCCAGCCAGAGGCATCTCAACAGAGCCCTCCCACCACTGCCTTGATCACAGTGGCTTACACCATTCTCAGACTTTCGACTGTTAACACCATGTCCTCTAGTTTAAAATCTAGTGAAACCTGTTCCTTTTTCAGATAATTTTCATTCAATCCAGTGCATTCTTATTTTTAATTTGGAACCTGAAACTCCATATAACAGCGCAAAGATTGCCCAGGATGTTCCATAACATCTGCAGTGTCATGCCTGGAACATATGTCAATTTGCATCAACATTTTCTCAAGAGAAAACCTCCTACATTTGGAAAGAGTAAAATGGCAAAAGAAATACTTAGTGGTATGGTGTCATTGTCTAATGCTCTGGTCCCTTAATATGCATGTTCCTTGTGTTAAATCTCTGAAAGAATGCAAAACACTAACTCAAAATTTTATCAGCTAAAGATGGGGGAAACAAGATGCTTCTAAAACAACATTTGTTCCCAAATGATCAATTTATCTGAAACAGTATGTTTTACTTGTAGGTTTCTCAAGGTAATGACACTTTTTCCTCTCCTAAGTTTAATTAAATTTAATTAAAAGTTAAAGTTTTAAATGGTTAAAAATGGTGAGAAGTTGGATTGTAACATTATTGCCAGCAGATATGCCAGGCATTAGATTTAATGTAAGATATGATCTAGTGTGAAACCACAATTGCTTGCTTTTAAAGTGAAATCAGTGCTAGCTTGACAAACCTATAGATGGAAGTTCCCTATTTATTTATAGCACAGGACAGCACGAGCAGCTGCAGCAGCAGGCCAAGCTTCCTACGTGCACACCACACACCCCAAGTAAACCTTATGCTTGCCCTGCAGGAACCACCTCATTGGGACAAAGGGGAGGTCAACAGTACTTTTGGTCCGTGGCCTCTATGGAGTAGCTCCTGTCCCCTAGAGACTGGACTAAGTCCACAAACTGGCATTAACTGTAACAACTTCTGGTTCCTACTAAGTTGATCCAGATTTGAAGCAGGTTGGCACTCGCCATAACAAAGTATAGCAAAGTCCTAATGTGCTGCTCTGGTTGAAAGAGGAATGGTTTCAAAATGTTATAAGGGACTGCTTAAAAATGTCTGGCACTCGATACCAGCATGGGTCTAACTGAAGGGAAAGTGCATCAGCACAACTTCTGTTCCTTCCCTAACGTTAGTATTGCTTATTTTATTCTAAAAGTAAATGCAGGCCCCACTCCCCACATTAATACAGTTTCTTCAGCAATCACTCAGTAGGGTAGAAGGGCAGGGGTTTGGAGTTGGATTATAAACCATTAAAAATCTCCAAAAAAAAATCTATTTACTTTTGAATTATGTACAGTATTTTCCACTACAGTAACCGATACAGTCCTTATTTGCAGGTGGGAAAAGGTTCTCAGATTGTACTACACATTAAAATACAGCAGCTGTGGCGATGGTGTAAGGAAAGTAAAAAGCTAGTTCATTGTTAGATTTTTTTACACGCTAAATCTCATTTATTGAAGGAAGTGAATTGTGTGGGGTTATTGGGGAAGGAGCATTAGCAGTGAAAAAAGGAAATAAGCTTGAGGTTGTATAATGAGCAGAGAGCCAGGATGCCCAACAAAAGACGTGGTACTGCCGGCTCTTGTTAGACCATGGGAATGTGTTGAGCAGCAGAAGTCATCACAGAGTGCTGGCATTTTCAACACTGAAGAATTGGTAAGAGGAGTGAGTGTTGCAGCCAGGCTTGGGCTCACTGGAGAGGAGGAGGAGTGGAAGCAACTGTTTACAAATTACTGGAGGGACTCTAACTACATCACTGAAGAAGGGTTTAAAACTAGGGGATGGGCTAGATTTGCATTAGCCCAAGTAAGGGAAAAAGGCTCTTACCTCCCAGCACTGTCACACTCCAGCTGCTCACATCACGGCTGCTGCACCGAGGGGAAGAGCAAGGACTTTATACACCCAGTATCCCCTCTTCCCCCAAGAGCAAGTGGGAGGAACATTGGCAGAGAGCCATGGTTTCACCCACCCTGACCTACCAGCTGGCAGAGCAGTAGTAGTAATGTACTGAAGCCATCTCCCCACAAATGGTTGCTACGTAAGTAGTTACCCTAGCAGATTGCAAATAACTTTGATAGCTAGATTTGTTTCTAAAGAACCATTGGTTTGAAGGATACAAGTATAAGCTCTCTGGAGGCAGAGACCATGCCTTCAGCTGTGTCTGTAAATGTCTTGTGCACGACTGGTGCTGTGTAAATAAAGTGGGAGGTAGGCACAGCTAGCATCCAGTGATGGGCTCTCGGAGGGAAGCCAATGGCCTTTTGTAAAATTGCTTCCTTTCAGCAAGCACTAAATTCATCTTTATTGTTTTCTCTTTGCGAAGTATTGATGGTCTGGTTGCCTGGATAATCACTAGTGCAAAGCACATAATTCACAAAGTCATTTCTTCAACAACTTTCGTCTCTTCTGCGGCTCACCAGCTGATCGTGATTTCTTCATTTTACTCAATATTTTTATGTTGTGGCTTTGTTGCAAAAATTGCTCTCCACAAATCATAAAATGTGAACCCACCAGGGGAATGAACACAAACTAATTTTTTTTTAAATGTGAGTGGCTCTGGTTGGACATTTTATCTGCACTAGTGACCCAGCTCTCGTAGTAACCGGACATCAAATGCTTAATGCTGTGCTTTACGTAGTATGAGAATTTTTTTTTTTTTTTAAAGAATTGATGTTGCAGACAAACAAAGTCAAATGTTGTCCTTGCTAGCCCTGGTTTTGCAATACAACATGCTACATAGATCAGAGTTTATATTTTATTTGCCAAACATCTGATGTCAGTGACTCTATGTTAATCTAGACATGTAAAGTAAATGACAATCTTCATCCCTCTAGTTCCCTCATGTGTTCTTCTGTCTGATTTTGGCCAGGATATGCTTGGGGATTTGTTTACCCCAGTGGAAACACCAGAAGCCCAGAACCGAGGATTTCTCAAGGGGCTGTTTGGAGGAAGTGGGCAGACTTTTGACAGAGAAGAGCTGTGTAAGTGATTATTGCTGAAACTAACGGAAGACACAGAACAGTTAAACCGATACAAGGACAGGACACAATCTAGGAAAGAAGGGATGTTAAAAATGTTAAAGGTAACACTATGAAGGAGGGAAGAGAATTTGTCCCCACAAGTTACTAGAAGGAGCAAGAGCTTGACGTTTCAGAGCCTTGTTTCTATCTATCCAAAATGTTTCCTTTCTTCCCAGTAAGAGCAAGTGAACAATAAAAAGTCCCCATCACTGCAATTACTGAAAAACAGGTTTGAGAGGGCACTAGTATCAAACCTGCCTGGGTAGCTTGAGGCAGTCTCTGTGTCCCACAGTACACCCCAAACAACAGCAAGGGAGTGAGGAACTAGCAATGAACTCTCTCGTTATTGATGGGGGAACGAGCTAACTCCACTTTCCCTGTGTAGTTGGTGAGGCTTCAGCAGGAAAAGCCTCTCGGAGCCTGGCTCAGCACATCCCTGGCTCGGGTGGAATCGAGGGTATGAAAGGAGCTGCAGGAGGGGTAATCGGAGACTTGGCTCGTGCGCGCCTCGCCCTTGACGAAAGAGGACAGAGACTGGGAGAACTGGATGAAAAGACTGCAAGCATGATGGCTAGTGCAGAGGCATTTTCCAAACATGCACATGAGGTATGGGTTCCTCGCACATACATGTGGAGAGAGTTTTCCTTACCCAGGGTTACCCAAAGTTAAGAAAGCTGAACCTCCTTCAGGAAAATTAAACCCAGCACTGTCCCCCAAGCGTTGATACCTTAATTTATACAGCACCCTTCCCCATACATTTGGGGAACACTGGTGTACATTGTCATTATATGACACTTTCTCTCCTTTTCTACATGCTTTGATAAGCAGTGAAGTATCGTCATTCACATCTGCACCCACTGAAATAAATGGGGTAGTTTCCCACCTCAGAGCTGTTGTTTCAGGCTCTCTGCAAACTGAGACAGCCATCTACTTTGGTTACACTTACTCCATATTTTCATAGCGTTTAAAGCCAAAAGGGATGATCAGATCATCTAGTCTGCCCTCCTGTGTATCACAGTCCATTACATTTCACCTGAGTATCCCTATATTAAGTCCAAAGACTTCAATTAGACCAAAAAGTTCAGTCCTCAGGAAACTAAACTGTGCGCCATGGACAGAGAACAGGGTGCCACCAATGCCCAAGTCTCCTGCAATGTTTTCTTCATAAATGTCTGTCTTTCAAAACTGCTGCCATCTCCCGTTGTTCTCAGTGGGAGGGAGAGTAGTAAGCGCCCTCAGTTAATATGACCATTGTGTCCATTCATTGACGCAGCAGTGTTGCTCCTGAAATCAGAGGACAACGTAGGGGCCTCAGTCCTTTTGGGAACAATGGGAACAATATTCATTAATTGCTCTGAAGATTGTGTGCCTATCCCTCCTGTCAAATGTTCAGATATGAACAATAACAGGAGAATTATCATTAATCCTGTTTCTTTTAAAAACCTGCTAGTTGCACAAGATGTGCTGAACAGGGAGGGGGGAAACTAGGGTGGGTCACAGGTGTGCATCTGGATGCAAGGGAACAAGTGGGGCATAGGAAACTGGGGGCATGGCCATAGTGTGTTATGCTAAACTGGTCTGCTCTAAATAGGCTGCTTAGCATGAAGACATTTGCTCTGTAATGATGTCACCCTATGGCATAGGGTATTCTTGCCAGCAAGTTAAAAAAAGTATGGATTGGATGAAAGGACTATAAGGTGGCTAGAAAGCTGGCTAGATTGTCAGCCTCAACGGGTAGTGATCAACAGTTCAATGTCTAGCTGGCAGCCGGTATCAAGCGGAGTGCCCCAGGAGTCAGTCCTGGGGCCGGTTTTGTTCAACATCTTTATTGCTGAGGATGCAATTAATCCCATCATCCAGCTCATTAAGTTCGCAGATGACACTAAACTGGGGGGAGGGATAAGGGTCGAGAGTGACCTCGACAAATTGGAGGATTGGGCGAAAAGAAATCTGATGAGGTTCAACAAGGACAAGTACAGAGTCCTATGCTTAGGACGGAAGAATCCCATGCATCGCTATAGGCTGGGGACCGACTGGCTAAGCAGCAGTTCTGCAGAAAAGGACCTGGGGATTACAGTGGACGAGAAGCTGGATATGAATCAACACTGTGCCCTCATTGCCAAGAAGGTCAACAGCATGAGGCTGTATTAGTAGGAGCATGGCCAGCAGATCAAGGGAAGTGATTATTCCCCTCTATTCGGCACTGGTGAGGCCTCATCTGAAGTATTGCATCCAGTTCTGGTCCCCCCACTACAAAAGACAAATTGGAGAGAGTCCAGCGGAGAGAAATGAAAATGATTAGGGGGCTGGGGCACACGACTTACGAGGAGAGGCTGAGGTAACGGGTTATTTAGTCTGCAGAAGAGAAGAGTGAGGAGGGATTTGATAGCAGCCTTCAACTACCTGATGGGGGGGTTCCAAAGAGGATGGATCTAGATGGATCTCAGTGGTGGCAGATGACAGAACAAGGAGCAATGGTCTCAAGTTGCAGAGCGGGAGGTCTAGGTTGGATATTAGGAAACACGATCTCACTAGGAGGGTGGTGAAGCCCTGGAATGGGTTACCTAGGGAGGTGGTGGAATCTCCATCCTTAGAGGTTTTTATGGCCCTGGCTGGGATGATTTAGTTGGTGTTTGGTCCTGTTTTGAGCAGGGGATTGGACTAGATGACCTCCTGAGGTTTCTTCCAACTCTAATATTCTATGATTCTATAGTCCTAAGAGTAGGAATCAACTGAAAAGAAGTACATTAAGGAATATTTAACTGTAATTCCAGTTTTCCAGATATCTGTACAGCTGGATTACCATGTACCTAGTGCTCCAGGGAGAATGTTTGTTTTTGGTTTTCTTATGGACTGTTATAAGTGTGAGGCAAAAAATACCCTCAAAGAGATGTGTACTGACAGATGGTATTCTGGAGGCGAGGCACCTAGCGTACCCTAATCTATAGCAGTTCCTACTTCACCTTATGCAAAAAGCAGAGTGTGAAAGTAGGAATTCCCTGAGAAGTGTCTCTTCAGTGAATAAGAGCTATGGGTAGATAATGTTCTTTGTGGACGTTTAACACTTAATTATGAAGTTCCAGAAAGAAAAAAAGAAGTTATTTTACGGCAGCAGAGGTAAATGACATGTTTGGCAAAGCTCAGCCTGCTACTATTTGTTTGTTTGCTCCAATTTTTCTACTTGATTATGAAGTCCATGACAATTAATGGACCTACTTCATTTGTGATACCACTAACCCAGTGGAGTTCTACCATATACTAACTTAGCACAAGTCTTTACCATTAGCAAAACATTACCATTAGATTTTTGTATCTAATTTTCATTTTGCTTATTTCCCATCTCTGTAGTTGATGCTGAAATATAAGGACAAGAAATGGTACCAGTTTTAGACTTTTAAAGAAGCTTCTTGGCTTTGATGAGAACACTATTCAGGGAAGCGGAACCTATTCTCAACACTACCAGTCACTGGCCAGAAGCAAAACTTTCTCCTAGGAAATGTTTTCCTGTTATTTGTTTGGATTCACCACAAGCGGGAAGTCAAGGAGAAGTTTTATAACCCACAAAATAGAGCCTAGACTTGTATTGGTCTTTTAGTCAAAATACCTGGCTCACGGTGTAGTAAATCTTTTTCCAAAAGCAACTGGACAGTCACGTTGGGATGTAGCTTTTTTCAGAAGCTCTAGGAATGAACTGTGGAGTGTGTCTCTGGTTAAAAATATTCTGTACAAACCTAGAATGTTAATGCACTTATTAAAAAATGAATACAATTTTGCATGACCAATTGACATCTTAAAAAGAAAGCATGTTGTGACCGAAGAAAAAGGGATTTATTTCTATGCTGAGCAAAAAAATATTTAAAGACAGCAAAAATCTTTATTTTTAAAAACTACACTACAACCAGCCAGTACATTTCAAGCATGGCTGCTACTACTCTGGACAGAAGAACTGCATTTTCTTATTTGCTGCTAATTCTTTTCCTTAGCTTGAAATCATCAGCGCTATTTAATTCCTATCCAAAGAATAAACAAACATCCAAATCCAATCCAAATGCTTTTAGTGTTTGTGAAGTCACTTAAGTGAGAGTAGAGGATGTCTTTACAATCCAAAGAGTGCAGGAAACCCCTTCCATAAACACTAATTTTCTGAAAGAAAGATGTGTACAGCTTGCTAGATTCATCTCAAGCATCCTTTGAGGGGGCTATGATACCATGTGTCACCCTAGGAGTGGCTGAATCACTTGGTTGCCTTGTTTTTTCAATATTAGAAGTTGAGTCATTAATTTATTGAATTCAGCTGAAAAAAGTAGAGGGCCCAGTGGGTCAAGTTGGTAAATCCCCTCAAGTCAGTGACTTCAGCGGCTTGCAGGAAAGAGTTCTCCCTGACAATGCACTGAAGTGATGCTAAGCAAATTGTACAGTAACCCAATTTAAAGCTGGCTGATCACACCAGCAACAGGTTTAAACTCCAAAGCCCTGCAGATTTAATTTTATATAGACCGGTTTCTCCACTGTCTTGCCTGGTGTATCACCGCTTACAACCTGTGCAAAGCTGGTGTAAAACACTGCCATAGAGATGAGTGAGTGGAGAATTCAGGAGCACATTATATCTACTTTGCACAAGTGTAAAGGCCTACATGAGGTGCAAGGTACTGGTGAAATAGGCCATGCATCTCAGCAAAGCTGCTGCCAGACCTCAACTGCTGCCCTGGGGCTTTACGTGGTTCCCATCATGGGCTTTTACTTTTCTTCATTTCGCAGATACTGTCCGATTCTTTTCCAGAGTAGTTTATCATGATGCATTTGCCTGAACAGAATTCCTATTAGATAAAAGTCAGTTGCCTTCCCCAGCTCAGTTTTACTCCTCTGCATGAGCATAATTTCTAAAGTAACCAACTGTGAAGTCAGATGGATTCTAAAATTGGCTTGGGAACAAAGTGCCAACGTCATGTTTGCCAGCAAGTATGCACAAGTACAAACTAGGGAGAGAGAGACACTTTGCATCAGGAGAATTCACTTTGAAGGAAAATGGTCTGAGAAAGCAGCTACAGCTAGTGATCTCCCAAATAGCCATGGCCATCAGATTTGCTTTAACTTCCTACATGTTTGTATCATGACAGTTTAATGCACGCTCCTGATCACAAGACACTGCTCTGGATTCTGCATTTCCATGGAAAGCACTGCTAACTCTCACAGCTATTCCTTTCTCATAGCTTTAGTGGTGGGGTGGGTGCTCACTGGTGAAAACACCTCTTTGATATTTAATTCAGCTCAATTTTAGATATAGGTTTTGGATTCAGAAGTCTGGCATCACAAGCTGTGTGAATTAAGGCTATGGCACAAGTTTGAGGCATCATTAAGGTTTACACCGTTATGGCTCAATATGAATTTTTTGCTATACAGAATTTTTAAATTTTACTGTGGGCAAGGTTAAAATGACAGCTTTGACCGTTATAATCCAGTTATAGGCCTTATGGCTAATCCAGCCCCTATGTGAATTGCATGTTTACTCTACATGTACTCTGGCCTATAGTTAGTCTGAATCACTAATCTTGTGGGCACTTTAGCATTACAAACACCTTAGAGAGGATATGTTCCCTAATTTATCTGCAAGACCTGAGAAGGTATTTAAACTGTCACTGGGTTAGGATCAGAACAGGAGGGAAATCATTCTACCAGGGACATGAGTTTGTTCTGTAACTTACTGCACCTGTTTCTATACTAATATATCTGGTATGAAAAAGATATTCAAGGGTGGTGCCATGTACACTTCTTCTACTGGCTACACTGGCAGTTTCCATTGCAATTCAATGACATATTGCAGTATCCATAAATGCATCACACATGCCTGTGTGTGTGAGTGATTAGGATGGTACTAGGTCTGTAATATATAGAAATTCTTGGCTTGCTATTCTGCTTTTAGGCAAAGGTGTTACTTAACATCAGTTCAGGAACCTATGATCCTAAATGCAATGGGAGCCTCCTTAGACAGATGCTAGAGCTCACTCCCTCATGAAGCAGTTGCACAAGTCAGTTTAAACAGCTACAGCCTGTGCAAAGGGAAATGTGCCTCCAGCAGGTCATTTCCATCACACTTGCTCTATCAACAGTCTCTAACTTACCACCACGCTGTATCAGTGGGAAAGTCAGCCAGTACCTTTCAGTTTGCCTCTTGACTTCACAAAAGAAGAATTTAGATTCCCCAAACATACAATTTTGAATGTTTAAATCCATCATCTTTTTCTCTAGAAAAACTCCCCAGGAGGTCACACTATATCTTCCTTGGCATATTGTACATCTTTCCAGAAAGTTACAAATTCCTGTTTCTGTAATGTTCAGCTCTTGTGACTATAATTATTAATTTTCTTGTAGTCTGTAGAGATCTAAAAAATTGTATATGTTTGTATATAGAACGTTCTATATATATAAATATATATATGTAATGTATATGTTGTATAAGTTTGTTAGTGCACACTGTTAAAATGCTTTCTATTGAGATTTGTCGTGGATGTGGGAAAAGCCTTCACCTCAAAATTTAAGGAGGGTGGGGGAAGCCGGCCAGTTAGTTTCTTGTGACATGAGGAGGAGTGTGGGATTTTTAAAAGGCCTACCCTAAACATTTTTTGTTAATAACGAGAGTAATAAAGCTGCAGCCTTCAAGCTGATAATCATAGCAATGATTTTACTTGCTGAGAGGAAAATTAGGACACTAGTCTTTCTAAGAAAATTGTTGAAATCAAACGTGCTTTCACCTTTTCTACCAAGCCAGTACCAGCTCACGCAAAATCCATAACTTTTAGGCTCTTTCAACATCTAAACTCTTAGTTAAAAAGTACAAACTCCAGATAGGTTACATTAGATTTAAAGTATAAAAAACTATCTCTAGCAACACTTTTGGCATAATATTGCTCAATTAAATTTTTTTGTTATGTTAGAAAATACATTTTTCACTCCCCCCAAAAATATGCACTATCCCAAACAATCAGATATACAAGATACACACACAGCTAGGGGTGCAACAGGCAGATAAAATAAATTAGATTCATTATGTGGCTTCTCATTAGATGAGTCCTTACTAGTAAGAACTATTTTATATGCAGCCAACTCCTAGACCTAGACCACTTTAAACTTCAATTCTGAATTAAAATTGTTTAAAAAATCTAATGAAATTCTGTAACAGCACCAGGATTTGTTCCCTATAATCATATAAGATTTTCTAAATCATATTTTTTTAAATTCCTATGTCCCAACTATTTATACTTCTGAGTAGATGTGGTCTGACTGCATTCCTGAATCCAAATTAGACATCTTTTCTCTGTATTAAACAGAATATAGGTTTTGCATAAATATTTAAATATAAACAGATATTCGATCATTAGATGTGTGTGAAGTTATCACAAAAATTCTCTATACAACTTTTTACATATTCCTTTTTCAGAAACCATCACACCCAATTCCTTGTGTGTATTATAATAAATAAATAGTATACCGAAAAAATAATTCTGTATGTATCTAATGTGGAAAAACATCACAGCTAATGTAAATGCTGTATTCAACCTCAGGATTATTCTGTTTATAAATTGTGTCTATTATATCACAGGCAAATTGCAGACTGCATTTAATTGCACCCTTTAAGTATTCTACTCTGGGTTTCCCACATCACTTTTCATGACCTAAAGGTGAATGCAAACACAATATATTTCAGTCTTGATTAATTCTGCCTTGGTAAGGTCTCAGTAAGAACACACTCGCTCTCATTAATGAGTTGCATGTTTCCATTTGTTGACAACGCTTCATCTAGGTGTAATTCATGTAAAAAAGAGTTTCCATTCGTGTGTTTTCTCTTATGTGATTATTGACTAAAATCAAAAATTGTATTTTTTTTTAAACTAGTGTCCAATATTCTGGCTCTGTCAAGGACCTGTGGACAAATTATGTGTGTTTTTTATTAATGAGGCACCACCTATATTTCAAAACGAAGGTTAAATCCAGGAGTGAAGTGCACACTCCTCCTGCTCCACTAGCCATTTACTGTTTTGACAGATACCTTAAAGTTGGCATCACAAAGGTAAATTAAGGCATCTTTGATTGAAGCTATTCTGAGTTCCCGGTGAAAGAATTGATGGAAAGAAAATAAAGGAAAGAATTGACATTATTTTGTGTAATTCTCTTTTTTCAGGCACTTCACACTAGTTTCAGGGGTATGTAGTTAGGTAAAGGGCTTATAATGCATATTCCATGTGGTTAAGCATCCCTACTACAGTAGGCATTTCTACACATAGCTTTTTTTGGTTTACAACTTCCATACAAGGTCAGGCCCCACTAGTGCCATCTTGTAAGTTAGTCTCTTGAGCTGTTATTTCTGTATTTTCATTTTGTCTGGGACTCCCACACTATGCTGGCAGAGCAGGGAGGTGGAAGGGGGAGCTATTGGGGTTATCAGTGCTGTACTGCCTTAGCCCATGAGTTCCTGCCTAAGATTCCAGGGTCAAAATGCATCCGTACTGTCACTGGGAGCTGTGTTCCTAAATAACTGAAGCACTTTTTAACACCCCCTCCCTCTCGCAAGCTTTGAGTAAGTTACAGCTGCACCATTTGCTTAGACTGGTCACTTGTATTATGCAAAGAAATTTAGAGAACATAAAGTGGCACAGGAACCACAAAAAACCAACACATTTTCTACACACATAAGCCCAATAAGCCCACACATAAGCCCAATTCTACACATGTTCTACACACATAAACCCAATAAGCCCAATTCCCCCAGTCTTAGGAAACAGCAATGTTGTTTGTTGGTCTTCTAGCATACAGACAGGGCCCCTCACCCCACCTCCATATCAGAGGCGCACTGTGATTTTTACAGAGTACCTGACCCAGCTGCAAACACCGTCACCATGGTACACCACATCCAAGCGCCAGATGGCCGTGGAGTGTTTCTGCACGAGTGGCTGCTGTGAAAACCCCTACTCCTTGGCTGGGAGGTGAACAGGAGCATGTGGGGTAATTACTCACAATATGATTCTGTTGCTTCACCTGCAAGGAGACAAAAATCTCAGTCAAAGCTAATGAACAAGCACCAATCTTTCCACCTCCCTTCCAGCTAGAGACTGGCCAAGCAAACTAAGGCCAGAGAGAAACGTCAAGTTATTCTGCCTGGGGACGGGAGAAGAAGGGATGGAGTAGGATATACAGAATTACTAGTGAGCAATCATCCCCCAGCATACGTCTTTCTTCTTCCATCCTACCCAACAACAGCAATTACAGACACCGTATGCTGCAAGCAATGACCCAAAAGAGCCCTATACAGTGTACAGTAGTGCTTGGAACAGGTACCGGCCTGAAGCAATGTCAGCAGACAAGGTCGGAGCAAACTGCGACTGTGAGGTGGAGGTCAGGGAAATGAGCCTTCAACATCAGTGGGAAATGCTTCTGCTTTCTGAGCCTAGGAAAGGTGCTACACCTCTTACAGCAAGGGATTTAACACTTACGACCATACACTTTGGACCCAGTCATGGCTTTGGGGGGGGTAAAGGGGGCGGCAGCTCAAGCTACAATTCACTGAGCTGTTATTGTGGATTCTGTCCCTCATTTCAGCCTTCACAACAAAAGTGTTACTACTCTTCTGAGTGGGAGATACTTAAAACTTCAGAGCCTGCCTGGCAGCGAGGGAGAGCCGGGTCCTCTGGTGCAACAAACTTTGGTAGATGGAAGTTGTATCAGCCTAAAGTCATTGCAGTTAGTATATCACACGTGAGAGTGCATACTTGACTCCTTCCACCAGTGCTGCACGTATTCACGACGAGTGCGTGAGTGCACAGTGCAGCACATCATGGGTAGCCATCCCAGTGGGCCACTCACCATCAGCCAGTGCACTGCCTTTTGGAAAATTTTGGCAATGCATGATGGAGCAGAAATAAGTCACGCAGGGGTGACTGGGAGCAAGTGGGGGGGTCAAGTCCCCATCATGCCACTTTCTCCATCCCATAAAGCTATACATACCCCATAATTTTCATGCCTTTTTTAAATAGATCCCACTTCTTGTTCACCATCTCTAAGAGCTCTATTGTCATTCATGAGCATTGCAAACCCAGAACAAACAATTCTCTCATATTTGCAGTGCCACAGGAAGAACTGTACCAATGGAGGATACGATGGTTGTTTGAGGACAGTTTGTTGTGGGACATAGTGAAAACAATTGAAGGTTGTTGGTGACAATCAAGGAGCAGCTGCCTATTTGGCCTCTATTTCCATGGGTACAAGTACAGTGCAATGGCACTGAATAGTGTCACTATTTTCCACAGGTGGTGGTGATTTTAGCTGATATCTCATTCCTGAGGGCAACAAAAGAACGGTTGCTGCTGGTGTCCCAAAACTGTCTGGGCCCATATGCCACTAGCCTGTTTACTGCTATGGTGCCTGCTGAAGTCATTGTTGAATGGCATGGGAAAGGATCCTATCATGGAGGATGAAATGAGGCAGCCCACCCCAGAAGCCTTCAAGAAAGGGCTGCTGAGAGCCTCCATAAAAGTTTCATCAAGATCTCTCAGGAGGATACAAGGAACAACCCTATGGACATAAAGAAGCTGCGCTGCATGCCCTCCCACCCAACCCTACAGTGGAATGAAAAACAAATACCTCTACCTCTGTTTGTCGTACCATTACCACCTCTCGGAGAAGTAAACCAATGAAAAGTCAATGCCTGACTCCTGCTAAGTTGGGGTTGGGCTGGGCATCATCTCTATAATTAAACATTGTAAAGAAAAATGCATGCACGCTTACCTGAGGTTCCTTCCCCTTCATCGGGCTTGTCTGTATTCGGCTTATGGGACTGGCTAGAATGGTGGAGTCTCAAAAAGATCCTGGCTCATGGCATAGCTGGATGCCCCTGCTGCTGTGTCCCTCCTCTTCCCCCTTGCTGTTCACAGGAGGGGTCTGTGTCTCGGGCTCCTTGGACGTATCTAGAGTGCTTTGAGGGTGCTGGTGGGGTCTCCACAAAATGTGGTATGCCGCTCATTGTAAAAGTGGTGGGCCTGTGGCTCAGCCGCAGATTGACTGTTGGCCTTTCTGGCCTTGTGGTATGCCTATTGCAGTTCCTTTGCTTTCACATGGCATTGCTGCTGGTCCCTATCATACCCCTTGGCCTGCAATCCTTGTGCAATCTTTTCTCAGATGTCCACATGTCGATGACTGGTCCGTAACTGTGTTTGCACGGCCTCTTCTCCCCATTGGCCAGGAAATCCAATACCTCCTGTCTACTCCAGGCAGGAGAGAGCCTAGTGTGTGGAGCTGTCATGGTTGATTGGGCAGCTGCTCACAACAAGGAAGAGATGGTAGGTGTGCTCAGCAAAGTGCACAATAAGGAAAAGGCATTTCAGAAACTCATGAGGGTTTTAAACTGGGCAGTGGAGTTCACTATCTGACCAGAGCAGTCACTGCAACAAAGGTGAAATGAAAGATTCACTAACCTGAAACTCCGAATGAGTCTCCAGAATAAACTCCAGGGGGATGCAAAAACTTGAGTTCTCATGCAAGTTAAAATGAGTTTAATTCCCCTACTTTGCAGCTATCACGAATGCAATTAAGAATGGCACCTTAAGACGAAGTAGTTTCTATCCCTCTGAGGTGTTTTGCTCCCAAAAGGGACGCAGGAGCACGCACCTGGAAGAGGGAGGGCAGGTTCCACTGAAGAACCAAGTGCTGGTGCTTAACTCTCTGCAGTAGAATGGAACAAAAGAAGCTTTTAGCCCCAGGGATGAGCAATTTCTCTATCCTTTGATGGCACTGTGAATAGCAATGAGCTGACACACACAGACCCGGAGAGAGTTAACCAAGATACATCTATGCTGCAATAAAAGACCTGTGGCATAGCTGTGGCTGGACTGGGTCAACTGACTCAGGCTCACAGGGCTTGGGCTGCAAGGCTAAAAGCTGCAGTGCAGTCATTCAAATTTGGGCAGAAGCCCAAGCTCTGAGACCCAGCCCCTCCCAAGGTTTCAGAGTCCACGCACCTGCCTGAGCATCTTTTTTAGCCCTGCAGCCTGAGTCAATTGACCCGGGCCCTGAGACTTAGTGCCAAGGATTTTTTATTGCAGTGTAGACATACCCTTAGGGGAAATTGAAGACTTCAGTCAGCCTTGCAAGAGCAGAACAGAACATGAACCAGAATAAGCTAGAATGGCAAGTTTTGTGGACATTGTTCTCCCTGTCTCATAACACACCAGGGAACAGTCAATGAAATTAAACGGCAGCAAATTGGAGACCAGACATTTATATGGACAACAAGAATTCCAAAGTTATAATAGTTAATGCTCACATGATATTTTGTAAGGGAGATGATAACCTCATGCTTCAAAGGTTTAAACCAAATGTCTAACATTTGGTTTAAACCAAATGTCTAACATTTAGGGATTAGGACCTAATGTGGGGTTCTAACCCCTTCCTCTGAAGCAGCTGGTTCTGGTATCTACCAGAGACAGGAGACTGTCCAAGATGGACCTCAGGACTGCTCCAGTATCACAATTCCTATGTTCCTAGAAAAAATATTCTACCTGTTTATCATAGAATCATAGACATTAGGTCAGAAGGGACCATTATGATCTAGTCTGACCTCCTGCACAATGCAGGCCATGGAATCTCACCCACCAACTTCTGTAATAAACCCCTAACTTATGTCTGAGCTATTGAAGTCTTCAAATCGTGGTTTAAAGACTTCAAGGTGCAGAGAATCCTCCAGCAAGTGACCCGGGCCCCACACTGCAGAGGAAGGCGAAAAACCCCTAGGGCCTCTGCCAATCTGCCCTGGGGGAAAATTCCTTCCCTAACCCAAATATGGCAATCTGCTAAACTCTGAGCATGTGGGCAAGACTCACCAACCAGACACCTAGGAAAGAATTCTCTGTAATAACTCAGATCCCACCCCATCTAAACATCCTAAGTGAAATGAAGATGTTATCACAGATGTGAAAGGTGAAATCTAGACAATCTCCAGTCCAGGTTGATCAGTAGTAATTATACTAAAGTAGGGGAAAGATTGGTATCTAAGGCTGAGTCATTTACAGCAAGAAGTCAGCTACTGTTTAAATGACTCATCAACATGACAGACCCCAAAATGCACGTACTGGGAAACTTGCTTCTTCTGGTCACCCGGCTCCAGAT